ATACGACAGTTTGACTTTTGCTAACTAATTTAATCATAACTTGAGTTATGAACCTCCTTTTTAGGTGATTCCAATGACATTTGAAAGCTAACATCCAATGCTACAATTCTTATCAAGATCAAAAAACTTGATTATAACAATACCACGCCTAGTGCGACATTTATTGCACCCAACATGAAAAGGACAACACTCTCTTTCAGGAGTACCTACAGCCGATGTGATTGAGGCCATGCACAACACAAACATTTGTAGGAACAATGTCAAATGGGGCCCAACATGATCCATTTGATACCTGACACGATATAAGTTTCATGAAAGACTTGTATGATGTACAAAAATTGCACATTACAAACCCTAAACTCTAAAACTTCAATCCAATCGATAAAAAATATAATTAAAGCTTAATATTACTATATTATATCACCAATTACTCAAATTCAATAACAATTTCACATTCTAATTACATACACATATTAACTACTCACACAATAACCATTTAGGGTTCCCACAGCAACCTATAGGTAATCCAAATTTTAATATTACATATTCAATCACAAAATTGGAGACATAAAATTACATAGCATTAAATATAATAATAAGAAATTATATAGAATACCAAAAACACATAATGCAATCAATTTAAAAAACACTTTATGCACAAGACATATAACAGAGACAACAGAGAAAGATTGGATGTCAATCTCATTATCCAACATACATTATTACACTCAGAGTGAGATTTCTCACTCCTCACTTTAATTGGTAAGCCAAAGAAGATGGATGCATGATCTTGGGGTGGTTTCCTTCTTGCTCTTGTTCTCCAAGCTTTGAGCATAAAATGAAGTGTGTTTGTGCAAAATGAAAAATGAAGGAGCGTAAAATAAAATTGTTTCTTTTATAATATTAACTTATCTATAACCTTTTAGCCAAAACATATTAACCATATTTACAAATTCCTTCCCTCTTATTTAGTAAAATAAATAAATCATTTTAATTATAAAATCTTATAATATATTCATATACATATAAAATAATTAAATAATTATTAAAATCAACCTAAATATTTATAATAAAATACAATAATTAATAATTAGCAAGTATATAATATATAAAATAAATATATTTCTTCCAACATAATTATAGTTAAAATAAAATATATAAACAATTATAATATAAAAACATATTTTTCTCCAAATACTTATTATAACAAAATATCATAAAAATACATATTTCTCTAATAAATATTATACAAAACAATTTTTGCAAAGATTTATTATTTAATAAAAATACTCATAATTATTAAAAGCCTCTAAAATTTATAAAACTCTTTTAATTAATTGAAAACAATTATAAGAAAATAACCTCATTTAATATAAATATAAATAATAATTAAAAAATCATATTAGTAGAAAATTCAGAGCGTTACGATTATATATAAAATACAATGTTAAAAGAATTTTTTTTTACTTTTACAAGCATAATTCTAGAAAGATTAGGAAGATACTTAGCTTTGATTTTAATGGACTTGGGCCAATTTGTTCACCAAATGTGTAAGACTCATGATATACACACCTCCATTTTTTTTTATAAACACACTCCCTTTTTTTTAAAAGAAATATTAAATTCCTAAATTACCTTTAATATTTTTTCTAACTTTTAATTTTTCAAATTTACACCTCCATTTTTCTTTCTTTTTTGTACACTCTCTTTCTTCTCCGTCACTTTCTTCTCCATATCTCCTTACCTCTCCTTCTATCCTTTTCAATTTTTGCATTATCCTCTTCCCTTTTTGGTTTTATTACAAGTTGTAAGCGGGTTCTGTAATATCCATTTTTATTATTATTGATTAATGGCATTTTTTGTAATTTTTTATAAAGGTATAGGGTGTTTTGGTAATTTGGAACGGGCTGTTCCAAATGCGGAACGGGCCGTTCCAAGTACCAAAAATGAACTAGGTTTAACTTTGAGAACAGGCCGTTCTGGAAGGAGAACAGGCCGTTCCGGAAGGAAAATGGGCCGTTCTGGATGAGTCCCAGAACAAGCCGTTCTGGTTTTGGAACGGGTCGTTCCAGTTCTAAATCTCACGTAGATTTTTCAGGCCCAGAACGGGCGTTCCGCTTTCAGAGGAGATCTTAGAGAGAGAAAGAGGAGAGAGAACATTGAAACAACCAACTTTTAAAATTAAAACTTCATACAGGCTTACCTAAAAATGGTTTTCCTATGATTGATAAAGAAAGCGTGAATCCTCAGATTAGAAGTACAAAAGTACCCAAATCAGAAGGTGGACAATGTATATATGGAGAGAGTATTTTTAGAAATATAGAGTATGATGGAATAGGACAATCAGAATGAAGTTTTGAAAATAAAAATGCCTTAAAAATTAGAAGATAGTTGAAATCAATTGGCATTGAAAAACTACAACCAATATATAGAAAATAGATATCCATAATTGCTTCTCTATGTGGAAGACAAAATGCAAGCAATTTAATGGGAAACGTATGAAGCAGAGAGGAAGAAGATGAAGGGTTTATGGTATTATATGATTGGGTTCGTGCAATGTTTCTCTGTTAATAAGAATGACATTGAAAAGTTGTAATCAATGCATAAAAAATAAATATCCATAATTACTTCTTTGAATGGAAGACAAAGTGGAAACAATTTGATGGGAAACGTATAAAGCTAAGAGGAAGATGAAGGGTTTTTCTTCTATTCAGAAGTACTAAAGGTTTAAAATTTATTAAATTAAAAAAATAAAATTCAAAATAATTATGATAAAATAAAATTGCAGAGGCTAGCATAAGAATACTTGGGTAACCAGAAGTGGTTTAAGAACACTAGCGTCAGCAAGTGAAGTTGACGAACCAGGAGTGGTTGAGAATACTTGGGGAACCATAAGTGGTTTAAGAATACTGGCATCATCAAGTGAGGTTGATGAACCAGAAGTGGTTAAGAATACTTGTAATCCGTTGTGATTAGTGGAACCCTTTAGTTGAAGGAGACTGGATGTAGCTCAGAACGAGTGAACCAGTATAAAAACTCTATGCATTTTTATCTGTGTTAAAAATGTAGATTTTTCTTATATTGATCTATTACAGAAAATTACTCACTACTACTCATTTTCAAAACGAAGTTATATTTGTTGAATTCAAGGAACTATTTTCAAACAAATGATAAATCTTTAGACATAAGGCTTCTGTTAGCCAACTCTACTCTTCTCCTCAAATCATGTATAATCTCACTATCAGACGAAAAGAAACACTTTTGCGAAAACGTTTTTGAAAATCCTTCGTTTACACACATTCAACCCCTCCTTCTGTGTGTCTTCATTAAACTTTAGTTGGTATCAGAGCTTGACCCCTAGGGTTGAGCATCTAACATTGCAAGGGAACGATCATGGAAAATGAAGGATAGGCAGTAAATCGCCCACCTCTCTTCAGAGGAACCAACTACGACTACTGGAGACAAAGAATGATCGCATTCTTTGACGCTTGTCATATAGACATGTGGAAGGTAGTAGAACAGGGAGACTACATTCCACATGACAATGTTGGCAGGGGGATACCCAAGGGACGTTGGAATGAAAATCAAAAACAAAGATTTATACTAAACTCCAAAGCCAGAAATGCACTCATGTGTGCTCTAACCAAGGAAGAATATACCAAAGTACACAGCTTCAGGAGCGCCAAACAAATTTGGGATACCCTTGCCATAACCTATGAGGGATCTATAGAGGTAAAATGCAACAAGTTAAGCTTGTTGGTCTATGAACTCTTCGAGATGGAGGAAAATGAATCTATCCAAGCTATGTTTGGAAGATTTCAAACTATTGTGAATGAACTCTCTTTTCTAGGTAGGACTTATGATAATTTTGATCATATTGAAAAATTACTTCGTAGTCTACCCAGGAAATGGAGACCTCAGGTCATGGCCTTGAGAGCATTCAAGGATCTTGAAAAGCTCTCACTGGAAGAACTAGTTGGACTACTCAAAGTCCTTGAGATGGAGCTACAACAAGATGAAGCAAAAAGAAAATAGAAGTCCATTGCACTAAGTGCGCAAAAGACTAAACCTACTTCGTCATCGTCAAAAGCATTAAAAGAAAAAGAAGCATCTGAAGAAAGCTGTGACGAGGAGACATGTGATTCAGACGATGAGATATCCTTCTTGTCTAGAAAAATATACTCCATGATGAAGAAAAAGGGAGGATTGCACTGGAGAAAGTACAATAGAACCCCAAGAGAAAAGGCACAACCACTATGCTATGAATGCAAGAAACCTGGACACTACAAAATAGAATGTCCAGAGTTAGAAAAAGAAAGAGAGAAAGAAAAGAAGAGATTAACTCCTCACATATATTTGGCATGGAAATAACTGTTTATAATGTTGTCATTTATTTGGTATGGATATATATTGTTAATGAAATATCTATTTTAATGATATTTTATTATACTATGGTTAGTTTTATACGTGCTAACCCTTATATTTCCATGATGTGGACTGTGATGATCTCACTATGTGGGGGAGCAGATCAGGTGTGATGCTTTGAGATAGCAAGGAGTCTTTTGATAGTTGCTTTGAGAAGTGGTTGGGCTTAGAGCTTGACCAGCACCTAGGGTGTCTATCTTATATTTTCATGATGTTAGCTTTTTGGGTTACTTTATAATCTTACTGAGGATAATGGCTCTGCTATAAAAATATGTTATATATTTTTTTGGAACAATTTATATGTTATTGTATATTTACACTCTAGTGTAGCTGTCCTTTGCTCTCTTTTCCAAATTATATATTATTTTATTTTAGTTGTCATATTAGTTGTTTCTGGATGTGACGGCCTAGGGTGGGTCGTTACATTTTTTGTATCAGAGCTGGTCGAGTCTCTTTAGGGTTTGTGGGAAATGGTCTTGTTATGTTTCTGTTGTGTGGAAATGGATTTTGGAAAGGAATTACTTATGTGTTTTAGTGTAAACTCATGGGTTCCTTAATCTTTTATCTTGATTAGGATGGTTGGTAGGGGAAACCATTCTAATCCTTCTTCAGGTGTGGATGAGCGGCAGATTTCTCAGGCTATGGAGCTAATTGTTGCTGCTATTGGACAAAAGAATACTTTGTTGACTCAAATGGGGACCAACCGAGCTGCAGCTGAAGAAGCTAGGGCTGAGGTACCTGATGAGTATAAGGGCTTGTCAGAGTTCAGAAAAGGGAATCCCCCTCAATTTACAGGTGTTGATAGACCTGAAGTTGCTGACCAGTGGATTGAGGAGATGGAGAAAATCTTCATGGTGATGCAATGCCTCGAGGAGAGGAAGCTAGTTTATGCTATTTATATGTTGGTGGGCGAGGCTAGCTTCTGGTGGAAAGGTGCTCAGGCTATGATGGAAGCTAGAGGGGAAGTGGTGAATTTGGAGAACTTCAAAAAGGTATTCCTAGAGAAATATTTTCCAGATAGCACCAGAAATGCTAAGGAAGTTGAATTTTTGAGACTGCAACAAGGAAATATGTCAGTACAAGAGTATGTGGTCAAGTTTAAACACTTGGCTAGGTACTATTCTCAAGCTATCTCTGAAGCATGGAGATGCAGGAAGTTTAGTGAAAGTTTAAGGTATGAGCTAAAAAAGACTATTGTTCCTATGGGGATTGTGGAGTTTCTAGTTCTAGTTGAAAAGGCAAAAATAGTTGAGAGATTTGAAGGAGAAAATAAAGTGGCAAAGGGTTCAGAGGGATCATCTGGATTTGGGAGGGGGAAACATCCTCAAAAGAGACCATCTCAGTTTCAGAAGAGGAATGCTAATAAGAAACTAATGGGGACTACTACTACAGGAGCTGTTCAGAGTTTTAGATGTTACAGATGTGGAGGCCCACATATGATGAGGGATTGTCCTACAAAGGACTATGTGTGTTTTAAATGTGGCAAGGTGGGTCACATGGCTAAAGATTGTAATGTCAGAAATACTCCAACTAGAGAGAACCAGAAAGTGGATCGGCCTACTGCAGCAGGTCGTGTTTTTGCTTTAACAGGTGCTGAAGTTGAAACGTCATTTGAGCTGGTAAAGGGAAAACTTGTTGAAGAGAATCTTTTATTCAAGAATGAGATTTCCAAACTATCAAAAGAATCAGAGAAAAGACTTGAGGAAATTGAAATACTAAAATCTGACCCATCATAGTTTACTCTAGGAGCTAAGAACCTTGAAAATCTTTTGAAATATTCTAAGAGTAAAGATGACAAGTCTGGGTTAGGGTATGTTGATTTTGAATTTGAAGACAAAGCAAGTGCATCTGCATATCCTATATACAATGGGCATTTCACGCCTAAGTGCAGTCACATGCACAAGAAGGGGTATTCCAAAACCTCAAACACTAACATTTATGGACCCAAATCCATTTGGGTACCAAAGACTGAGATAATACCTGTTGTAGATTTTTTCAACAAGAAAAAGAAGTTTCTAGTTATGGTACCTGGATAGTGGCTGCTCGCGACAGATGACGAGCGAAAGGTCTATGTTCCTAGACCTCAAGTCTAAGAAATGAGGTCTAGTCAAATTTGAAGGAGGACAGAAAGGAAAAATCATGGGAATAGGTAAAATAGGTATAAACTCCTCTATCACCATTGACAACGTTCTATATGTTAAATGATTAACACATAACATGCTGAGTATAAGTCAATTATGCGATAACGGTTAGGAAGTTTCCTTCAACAAAAATAAATGTATTGTTAGTCAAACTGATTCTTCTATATTGTTTATAACTAACAGATGCAATAACTTATACAAAATAATGCTTAATGAACTAGAAGATCAAGATATTGATTGTCTAGTATCTTATGAAAACCAGTGGTTATGGCACAAGAAGCTTGGTCATGCAAGCCTGAGATTAATCTCAAAGATGAAAAAGCATAGCCTCGTAAGAGGTCTACCGAGTCTTGTGTACCAATCAAATAGCCTATGTGAAGCATGTCAAAAGGGGAAACAATTTAAAAGTTTGTTTGAAAGTAAAAATCATGTTTCCACCTCAAGACCTCTTGAACTGCTCCACATAGATTTATTTGGCCCCACTAGGATTGCATCTGTTAGTGGTAAAAGATACGGACTAGTCATTGTTGATGACTATACTAGATGGACATGGGTGCTGGTTATAACCCACAAGGATGAGTCTTTCAAGGTATTCCATGTATTCTGTAAAAGAGTTCAAAATGAAAAAAAATATCAATTGCGTCTATAAAAAGTGATCGGGGGGAGAATTTGAAAACGAGCAATTTCAAGTTTTTTGTAAAGAAAATGGAATTAAACATAATTTTTCAACTCCTAGAACTCCATAGCAAAATGGAGTTGTAGAAAGAAAGAATCTCTCTTTACTATATCCCTATGACCAAAGATGATGATGGGAAGAGAGAAAAACATTGTAGTGAATGGAGTGATGATGAGAGAAAAAGAGCCCAATATGACTATAGAGCAAAGAACATCATTACATCTGCGTTGTCTATTGATGAATTTTTTAGAATTTCTCAATGCAAATCTGCTAAAGAAATATGGGATACTTTGCAAGTCACTCATGAAGGAACAAGTGATGTAAATAGATCTAGAAAGTATACTCTCATAAGAGAATATGAATTGTTGAGAATGAACAATGGTGAATCAATTTCTGATTTTCAAAAGAGATTTACACACTTGATAAATCACCTTGTTGATCTTGGCAGGAAATTTGAAGAAGAAGAGTTAAATTTGAAAGTGTTGCAATGCTTGGACAGATCATGGTAAGCAAAGGTGACTGCTATAGAGGAATCAAAGGACTTGACTTCATTGACCCTTGCTACTCTCTTTGGAAAGCTGAGAGAGCATGAACAAAAGCTGCATATATTTGAGGAAAATGAACAGTAGGACAAGAAGGGCAAAGGAGTGTCACTAAGAGCCTTGAAATAAGTCAAAGGTGAAGAGGTGTGTGAAGAATCAAGCTCCGAAGATTCTGAAACAAAGAACTTCAACTTGCTGGTGAAGAAGTTCAGAAAATTCCTAAGGAAAAAGAGGAATTCCCCATACAAGTTCAATAAGAAGATTAACAAGAAAGAGGAAGCAAGTACATCCTCCTACAATTGTTTTGAGTGTGGAAAATCGGGACACATAAAAGTTGAATGTCCAAACTGTAACACCCCAGTTTTCAAAAAGATTATTATTATTATTATTATTATTATTATAGGGTATGTTGATTTTGAATTTGAAGACAAAGCAAGTGCATCTGCATATCCTATATACAATGGGCATTTCACGCCTAAGTGCAGTCACATGCACAAGAAGGGGTATTCCAAAACCTCAAACACTAACATTTATGGACCCAAATCCATTTGGGTACCAAAGACTGAGATAATACCTGTTGTAGATTTTTTCAACAAGAAAAAGAAGTTTCTAGTTATGGTACCTAGATAGTGGCTGCTCGCGACAGATGACGAGCGAAAGGTCTATGTTCCTAGACCTCAAGTCTAAGAAATGAGGTCTAGTCAAATTTGAAGGAGGACAGAAAGGAAAAATCATGGGAATAGGTAAAATAGGTATAAACTTGGACCCAAATCCATTTGGGTACCAAAGACTGAGATAATACCTGTTGTAGATTTTTTCAACAAGAAAAAGAAGTTTCTAGTTATGGTACCTAGATAGTGGCTGCTCGCGACAGATGACGAGCGAAAGGTCTATGTTCCTAGACCTCAAGTCTAAGAAATGAGGTCTAGTCAAATTTGAAGGAGGACAGAAAGGAAAAATCATGGGAATAGGTAAAATAGGTATAAACTCCTCTATCACCATTGACAACGTTCTATATGTTAAATGATTAACACATAACATGCTGAGTATAAGTCAATTATGCGAGAGCTGCTCAGAGTCGGCAAAAGTCTTATGCAGACAAGAGAGGAAACCTTTGGAGTTTTCAGAGGAAGAACATGTGTTTTTGAAGGTAACTCCTACCACAGGTGTGGGAAGAGCTATCAAAGTTAAGAAGTTGAATCCTAAGTTTATTGGGCCGTATCAAATTCTCAAGAGGATTAGACCAGTGACATATTAGATTGCATTACCTCCATTCCTGTCTAATCTACATGATGTGTTCCATGTTTCACAACTGAGGAAGTATATTCACGATCCGAGTCATGTCTTGGAATCAGAGGCAGTGCAAATTAAAGAGAATCTAACTTTAGAGAAACAGCCAGTTTCAGTGGCAGATAAGAAAGTTAAACAGTTACGAGGTAAATCTATCAATTTGGTGAAGGTTATTTGGGATGAGGTTACTAATGAAGCCACTTGGGAGTTGGAAGATAGGATGAAGGATCAATACCCATATCTCTTTTTGAGTAAGTGAATTTTCGAGGACAAAAATTTTTGTTGTTAGGGAGAATTGTAATATCCATTTTTTTTATTATTGATTAATGGCATTTTTGTAATTTTTTATAAAGGTATAGGGTGTTTTGGTAATTTGGAACGGGCTATTCCAAATGCGGAATGGGTCGTTCCAAGCACCAAAAATGAACTAGGTTTAACTTTGAGAACAGGCCGAGAACGGGCCATTCCAAAAGGAGAACGGGCCTTTCTGGTTTTGGAACGGGCCGTTCTAGAAGGAGAACGGGCCGTTCCGGAAGGAAAATGGGCCGTTCTGGATGAGTCCCGGAACAGGCCGTTCTAGTTTTGGAACGGGCCGTTCCAGTTCTAAAACTCACGTGGATATTTCAGGCCCAGAACGGGCATTCCGCTTTCAGAACGGGTCGTTCCGGGTTAGGTAAGAAAAATTCTATAAATAGGGGGCTGGGGGTTGGAAAATGGAGAGTTGGAGAAGAGGAGATCTTAGAGAGAGAAAGAGGAGAGAGAGATAAAGAAAGAGAGAGGAGGGGAAAGAAAAGAGGAGAGAGAGGAAGAGAAATTCAGAGAAGGAGGTTCTACCCTAGTTTCGGTTCCTGTTTAAGAAAGTGAAGAGGAGGTTCTGCCCTAGTTTCGATTCCTGTTTATCCAAGTAAGGGTAGTACTTATAAGACTTAATCTAGTATGTATGAGCATGATAGGGGTAGTATAACTTTTAATATGCTATTTTGTTTATATGAAGATTGTCATTTGTTTAAGTTGATGGTTGTTTTAGGTGTTTAATTATTTATGTTATTATATTGAATGATTTGGCATGGTTATGGAAAAGTTTGTATGTAATTATGGAATATGCTATATGTGTGTGGTTTGGAAAGCTAATAGAACTTAGAGGAGTAAGGTTATGGTATGGATTAGATCTCTTGGTGAGATCAGGATATAATCTTTGGAAAAATATGAAATTTGGGAATCCCATGGTGAGGATTCCAATGTGGAACTTTTTCAAAGGTTATATAATAAACCACTTCAGATGTTAGGTGGATTCTGAAGTACTCCTCTAAGTATTCTATTTGCTACCGGTATGGGGGCAAGGCCGAGTCATACCAATGGATGAAGTGGCCACGATCACCAGGGTTACGTGACGACGTAATCCAACTGTATATTTTCCATGAGAGGTTAGGTGTGAGACATGGGTTGATAGCATGTTTCACCGTATCAATACTTGGTTTGGTTGTGTTGAGGCCAACATTTGGTTTGGATGTGTTGGTTACATAAGGGATTATACAGTGGTGTGACTTTGTTTTGGATGTGGAATATGTATACATATGGTATGGATTGTATACATTGGTTATGGATTCTTTATTATCATAAAATATGTATGCATTGGCATGGATGTGTATACATTAGATTCTGGATTGGTTTATATTTTGCATGGAAATAACTGTTTATAATGTTGTCATTTCTTTGGTATGGATACATACTGTTAATAAAATATCTATTTTAATGATATTTTATTATACTATGGTTGGTTTTATACGTGCTAACCCTTATATTTCCATGATGTGGACTGTGATGATCTCACTATATGGGGGAGCAGATCAGGTGTGATGCTTTGAGATAGCAAGGAGTCTTTTGATAGCTGCTTTGAGAAGTGGCTGGGCTTAGAGCTTGACCAACACCTAGGGTGTCTATCTTATATTTTCATGATGTTAGCCTTTTGAGTTACTGTATAATCTTATTGAGGATAATGGCTCTGCTATAAAAATATGTTATATATTTTTTTGGAACAATTTATATGTTATTGTATGTTTACACTCTAGTGTAGCTGGCCTTTGCTC